AACAATGGGATGAGGCTCCAAAGTGCTGATTTCCAGCAGCAGGAAGGTGGGGAGAGGGCAGGGAAGTGCCCCCAGGGAATGGGATCGTGGAGCAGATCTGCTGGTCAGGGCCAGAGTGGGAACTGGGAACAAGGATTTTGGGAATGCAGAGCAGCGGGAGGGGGGGTTGCCCTGCCCATCCTGAGCTTCCCAGAGCCCAGTAACTCCCAGTATGGCCCCAGTCACCTCCAGGATGATCCCAGTCACTTCCTGCCATTCCTAAAATGAACCCAGTATCCTGCCAGTTCCTTCCAGTCACTCCCAGTATGATCCCAGTTCCCTCCAGTGTGGTTCCACTTGCTCCCAGTATGAAACCAGTCACTTCCAGTATGATGCTATTTACTCCCTGCATGGTCCCAATTGCTCCCATCAGCCCCAGTATGATGCCAGTCACTCCCAGATGCTCCCAGTATTATTGCAGTCACTGGTTCCAGTCACTCCCAGTATGATCCCAGTCTCCCCCAGCATGGTCCCAGTCATTCCCAGTTACTTCCAGCATGATCCCAGTTGCTGACAACCACTCCCAGTCACCCTCAGTGTGGTCCCAGTCACTCCCAGTTTGGCCCAGTCACCTTAAACATTGTTTCAGTTGCTTCCAGTATGTCCCAGTTGCCCCCACCATGGTCCCAGTTGCCCCCAGCCTGCTCTTTGTCCCTGCCAGTGTGATCCCAGTCCCTCTCAGTATGATCCCAGTTGCCCCCAGCATGGTCCCATTTGCTTCCTTTTCCTCCCAGTGTGGTCCCAGTTGCACCCAGTTGCCCCTGGCGTAGTCCCAGTCACTGCCAGTATGATCCCAGTCTCTCCCAGCAGGTTCCCAGTCACACCCAGTTTCCCCCAGTATAGACCCAGTCACTGCCTCTTGCTCCCAGTTGTCCCAGGCATGGTCCCAGTTGCTCCTCAGTTGATCCCAGTCATTCCCAGTATGGTTACAGCCAGTCCCAGGATGGCCCAGGTGGCTGCAGGATGCACCCAGTCCTGCCCAGTTACTCCCAGTTGCTTCCAGCATGATCCCCATTTCTCTGAGTTGCTCC